CTGTTCTGCTGCCCACTCTGTCTCTGGTGAAGCCTCTCACCGCCCCTGCACCTCTGGCCTATACCCCAGTTTTGTATGTATAAATAAACAAATCTTAAAACAAAAAAACAAAAAAACTAATAACACCTGGAAAAATTCCCTTAGTCATCCTGTCAGCTGTAGCTTCTTCTGATTTTGAGCCTTCTGATACAACTAATGTTTTATATTGCCAGCTCTATAAATACTTTTCATGCTTTGGATCTATTTGCTAATGAAAAAAAGAACAGTGATGGATAATGTTCGGGGTTTTTGGTGTCTTTTTTTTTTTTTAGCCAGTTACATAAACTTTGCTTCTTTTAGCGACTATAAACTATATCCCAGTTATAAATTATAGGTGTGGAAGAGTAGTGGTAGTGGTCTTTTACTGCTTTTGGTTCTGTGAATCTTACTGTAAAAAAAAAAAATCTAAGACTGAGTTAACAGTTCAGCTGAAATCATCACTATGTTCCAAACCCCTGCAGTTAGGGGTGTTTATGCATTGTGGACAGATGCCCTTTTAGCTGTGTTGTTATTTTGTGGAAAACATACAGTACTAGAGCAAGCTGGTTCATATTCATATTAGAGTAATTTCACATTTTAAGTTATACTCCAGGCATATGACTTACTGTTTAGAGATAGGTAAATGAAAACCCAGGATACAGAGTGCTTTAATCGTTCTTGATTTTTTTTTTTAAGATTTTATTTATTCATACAGAACTGAGGTACAGGCCAGAGATGCGGAGGGTGAGGGTTCACCAGAGACAGAGTGGGGAGCAGAACAGGTAGATCTACGAAGCACACTGCTGAGGGGAGCAGCGGCCGGTAAGGAGAGGTCTGCCACGCCATGTGGTCACCTCCAGGGCAGGCGGGAATCGAACTCATGCGGAAGTGGCTTTAGCTTCTCAGTGCAGTGCTTCAACCCGCTGGTCACCAGGGAGGGCCGTTCTTGACATTTTAAAGGAGATGAGGAAGTAATGGACTATTATGGTAAGAAGTGGCTGATACGGTCAACACGACTTCAGTAAGTTTTAAAAATAAAGCTCTGACCCTGTTTGCCAGGAAACTTTTTTCTTACCCTGTAGCATCTGAAAAGTTTGTTAATTTGAAGATTGACTAATTTTATGTAATATGATGATAGTTATACCTATGGTTTTACACACTGGCTTTGAATTATACATGTTTGGATTTTGCCAAGCTAAAAACATATTTGAATATTGTTAGTATTTAAATTTATTTTATTTTCTATTTAAAATTAAGTAATATCATTAAAGTTTGGATTTTATTTTTGTTCTAAATAGTAAATGATAATTAAATATTGAGTAAAACATAGGGAATAATTTATGGTGGATTTGCTGCTTATTTTTTAATTTTATCCTCTAAAGAAATTAGTGATATTTTTATCCTCTAAAGAAATGATTAATATTAAGTTATTTTTACATTTGACACGGGAAGTTTAAGCAGATTGCCCATGTTGAAATTCAAGTAACTTTTACACTGTGAAACTAAAATATAAATCTAGATGTGTTTTTCTCAGGAGTGTCTGCACATAAGGCCTTGAGATGACACATAATTTTCATTGACTGTAACAATACTGAAGTAGTATGTATTTTCCACTGATGTTTATCATCATCTTATGAAGTTTGAATCCCAGAACTATCTTATTACATATTACACACTAGTGTGGTTTATAATAAAATGATACTATACTTTATTGATTCCTGGGTGCACAGGTTTTTCCCTTGCAGTTTAACATTGATAAAATCAGGATGTCTGTTAACAATGGAATTTTTTAAAATTCTAAATTTAGTAACTAGCATTGTTTTGCTACTAATGAATGTTTGAGGACTCTTCAGTACAGGTAAAACTTCTTTAACTTCCTCCCCTTCACTTAGATCAGTCCTGATTAATAACTGTCTTATGTTTCCAAATTCCCCATCATAACTACGCACAAGGAAAAGATTTATAATACCTTGGAAGAAAGGGAAATTAAGATTTGAGCGTAATAGCACTATTTAGTCCTTCAGAGTGCCTCTTGTTGGAGTAGTGTCAAAAGGCTAGCTTTTTTCCTCACCAAACTCAATAAAAGAAAAAATGTTTATTGTAACAAATATGCCTTAATACAAAACTTTGGCAGTTCTTTGAAATTTTATTAATACGTAAGAAATTTGGTTTTAGCTATCTTAAAGGATATCCCAATTATCAAACCCTTCATGTGTATATTCATTTGAGAATAGTTAGAATTGGCTTAAAATGGTAGTTTTGCTCCAATAATATATTAATTTTGGGGGGAAGGGTTATTAATATGTTAAATTGTCTATAGTAACAAAAACAAATTCTTGGGGAGTGAGGGAGACCTGTTGCTTTATAGGACTTTAATTATTAGTGCTTAGAACTAACAAGGAAAAGATCTCATGTGGCAAGTGAGTAAATATTTTGGGACACGTAAAGCCCCTGGTTAGGATTTCTGGCATATACAAGTATGTTCACTATGGGTAATCCAAAGTAAGATCATTTAGTCACCTATTCCCAAGGACTCAAAAATTCCTGACAACCTTTCTCTTCATCATAGTTCTCCATGTTGGTATTTGGTTTTTGTCTTAAATATAGAAAAATGCATGCACACACATAAAAACATAGACACATATTCGTTGTTCTCTAAATATCCGAGTCATTAACAAACCCAGCTAATTAGCCAGACCGAGTTTGATTAGGCACAGGTAGCATTCAAATACAACTTTCTACAACAGAGTTGCCATGATTTTAAAATTGGACTACACGGTGAACAGGAACTTGAAAATAATAGGGTTTTGTACCAGAATTTTTAATCATTCTAATGCTGGTCTAACTTGTTGCACTAGAACTGTCTAATTTTTAGCCTTATACTTATCTCTTTGTAGCACTTGATAGTGTTATTGCCTCTTTCTTGGACCCTGGGACATTCCTTTCTCTTTTAATCTCTTGTATCCATTCTTATTCTTTGCCCCTAGTAGTTGATCCTTGCTCTTTTCTTCCCCCAGTCACCATTGTGTTGATGACTCCAGTCTACAATTCTATCTTCAGGTTATTCTCTGGGGTTCTAACTTCCTATTGCCACCTACATAATTACTATATCTCCATCTGAATGGAGTCCAATACTGCACATAGTAGGGATTTTACAAATTTGTGGGAGTCTCCTGGAACAGAGGAAACAAATAGTAAGAAAGTCTCTTGATATTGTTTTGTATATATAAGCTACATATTGTTTTGCCACAAACTTTAAAGTAATTGAATGATTAGAGAAATAATTGATTTAAATTTTTTTGAAAAAAGTTCTTTATCTGTACTTGATGAATATAGTCAGTAGTTATCATATGATAAGTTTTAATGTAGGTGGTCCTTGTCATTCACCTCTTCATTCCATTTTTGTCCTCTTCTTTCCTCTCTTTTTCCATTCCTTTGTAAGAGAAAATAGCTCAGGAAACTGCTTACAGTCAGTACGCTGGGAACTTCCGGGATTCTTTACCAGAATCTCCCTAGATGTTGCATTCCCTGACGCAACAGCATTGTTTTAGGACGGAGTTTTTATAATGACTATGAGGCTGAATGGCAAAGGTTGCTAACTGCAGGGTATTATCCTTTGCAGAAACTCATTTGGGAATCCACTTATGCCAACTTAAATATTCATCAGTAAATTAAAGAACCTATTAGCCACCCCAACCTCTCCACTTTCCCTGCCCAACAAGTGAGGATGTATTACTTTAGAACTTCTTTTCCTTTGGAAGATGAAATGTTTGTTATTCCTAACTCGGTGGTGTCCCAACGTGGATCACATGAGGGGAGGTTTGTCTTTATCTTCGGATCAATTTTGATTTATGTAGTAAGTAAAGGGAATGGTAGTTAAACTTGGAGTTTAAAGTTTTTTTCCCCCTTTTTTATTGAAGTAATAATAGTTTACAGCACTGTATATATTTTAGAAGAGTTATTTTACTATTAAACTACCTCCACACCAAATAAAATTCAAGTGTGATGTTTTCTTACTGTCTTTACTAATAACCTTGTATTTAAAAAATAATAATAATTTCACTGATGGCTTAATAAGTCCTGTTGTTACTACCTACCTACACTAAATCTTTACTGATAATGTCATGGTTGAGATAATTTCTTTAAAGGACAAAAATGGAAAGAGGAATGGGAAAAGATTTAAGAACATTCTTTTTGACTTAGGTTACAGCTTATGAATAGCTCCACACTGTTAGTCAGGAAGTCTGTAGTTTAAAAAAAAAAAGATAACCAGTAGGAAATGCTGTATTTTAGTTTACAGAACTGTAAAAAAAAAGAGAGAGAGAAAAAAGTACCCCTTCTTTTTCCCTGCTTTTGGAACATTTTTAATAACTGATAGTACCTCTGTGGTAATTTTTTTCTAGATTTCTGTTATTAATATTAAACAAGTAATTGAAGATCATGATTTTATTTATGATCAAATGGTAGATCATAATAAATAGAGCAGTGATCAGCATCTAGTTTTTTTGCTAGAGGGGAGATGGTGGGCAGGAAGGAACTTCTGATGCTAAACTAATTATAATGTTTTAATGATAAAATATTTTTCTTCATTCATTTTTGAAATTGTAAAATGGACATATTTTAATAGTTATCTTTTAAGGTTATATAAAATAATGTGCATAACAATAAGATAATGGTGCATAACATCATGAAAGCGCTTAATAAATTTCACTATTGCTATTATTATGATGATGATTAAAAAAAAAAAAAGAAGAACCCATACTCAGGGACAGCTAGTGAATGGTAATATGTCTGCAATTTAAGATTTAACAAAATAGTTCAAGTTTTTATAAAAGGTGCCCAAACTTCTTATTCTACATGTCTGTTGTCCTGCTTTAGCATATGATTTTAATCCCTTATTCCGCTTTAGTAGAAAGAATAAATTTAGTAACAATTTTACAAATGAAGTAACTGTATCTATCTACCCTTCTTTTTTGTTTCAGGTTTCCCCTCAAAAAACCTATAAGGTAAGTCAGACTTCAGTTGTGTATCATAGGTTTAAGTTATATTTTAGTTAAAAGCATTTCTTTGAAATTGTAATGAATTTTTTAAAACAATTTAAGTAGTTCAGAATATAAGGATGCTTTACAAATATTACAGAACTAGTATTTTTTTCTGAAGACAAAATTTTGATTACCTTTTCATTGTTTTAATACATACATTCTTAAAGGCTGTTCAGATTTATACTGAAGTTCTTTATAAAGAAGTTTTATTTAAAAATTTGTGATGTTTTTTCAGCAGTTAGTAGCTTGGGGAGGGAGTATAAATGAATTGCCACTTTTTGATGTGTTTTTTATCACTTGGATATAACTGTAACTGCCTTTAGTTAATGCACTCTGGCAAACTGCATCCGTCTCATTTACTTTAAAATAGCAAAGGAAAAAAATCTGTAAATTGTGGTAAATGTTATTTAAAATGTAGGCAATTTGTCATTCTTCATTATTATAGTACTTTTTCTGTTTTACGAGACAGTATAGTGCAAGATACCAGTGTTAATTTTTGCCTTTTAGTAAGTCTAGTGTGTCTTGCAGTTACGGTTTTACTTGCCATCCACCTGTTTTCTGATCAGTATAATTGGCTAGGGTATAGGAAAAACAGTAAACCCAGTGTCATCAGGGTTAACAATTCTGTGATCAAAACTAAGAGCAGACGCTAATTGAAACTTGCCTAAAACTGTTTTTTAAAAAACTATTGTCACCCATACCATACTTACAATGATTTATAGTATATGTAAGATTTGAGAATGTATATATTACTTCAAGGTTTTTTTTTTAATCTGCTAAATGGAAAGAATAGTGATTAACTTGTGAAAACCCCTAAAATAATGTAAGTAATTGTTTATAAGGATAAAATGCACTTTAATACTAACTATTAAACATTAATTAATACTGCTTTATTAGGTTTAAACACATTTTATAACCAAATATTTGTATTGCACATAAGAGATTGAATTTTAAAATTGAGACATTTATGAGATTGTATAAACTTAATTGTTGGTTTCTCTTTGTAAAGCACACTTGGGATTTTTAAAATTTTTATATATTTTTATATTTAATTTTTATATTATTCTAATTTAGTAAACATTTGATTGCTTTGATTAAATTTAGGCATGGAAGTATTTTGAACCGAGAGTCACCAACAGATAAGAAGCAGAAAGTTGAGCGCAGTGCATCACATGATTTTGACCCCACAGGTAAAGCACTGTTTGTTCTTCTAAATAATGTCAAGAGTCAAGAAGTTTAGAATGCTCTAGCTTAGGCTACATAGTTCCCTGAAATACCTAGGAATAATTGTTTGAGCTATTTAGGAATCTCCTTTTCTCTACATTTACCTAACATAAAACCTTTAGCATTTAGGAGTAATGTAAATACTTTAAGTAAATAAAACTGGATTCATTATGGAAACAACATTGTAGAATATATTATTTTTTAAAATGATGGTGATAATAGAAATAGTTATACAATAACTCAAGATTTTGGTCAAACCATGGACTGTCTGACCAGATATATGAGCTAATAGGTCATAAAATCAAGGTTATAACAACTACAGATTTCTGTAGTAATTTAAACATTTATGGAATTTTAAGTATTTAAGTAAAGTGCAATTTAAGCAATCAGTGGTTTCACAGTAATGGTTTTAGTTTAAAGGAAGAAAATGTTTTACCTAAAAAGTTTTCTGAATTCAGAGAATTGTCTTTTCCATAATGTTGACCTTCCCAGGAGTTTTCATGTTAATAGAATTTTTACTACTTATATTCTTAATTTTTTGCAGATAGATTAAACTTCTCTTGTGAATTATGTGCTTTTGCTTTCTCCTTGTACATTCACTCAATATTTAATATATAAAATTCCTTGATAATTTTGTTTTTCTAATTTGAAACAGATAGGTATTCTTTGAGTACATACTATTTTATTTAGTTACTTGTTCCTATGAAAAAAGATAATAGTAAATGTTAAGGTCTCAGGTATATGTATGTACTCCTACATACTTTTAGATTAAAATATTTTAGATTAAAAATACCTAAAAATTTAAAAAAATAATATAATAGTTTATTTTACATCATTTTGTGCCTTTTCCATCTCAGTTGTAATCCCCGTGGGCTGCCTATCACCAAATCATCCGTGTGCCATCACCATAGTCCAGTGCATTTCCTTCCCTCCCCCCAACTTTTAATCCCATTCCCCACTCTAATTCCGTAAAATGTCTCTGGTATATAGTTGTTCATTATTATTATTATTATTTTCTCCCCTACTATGAGTGAAACCATCCAGTTAAAAATACCTAAAATTTTAAGAGAATAAATGGTGTTTTGTATCTAATTAAGGTATTTCATACTTTTAGTATAAATTGCTTTTACTTAAAGAAATATTTTAAATATTATATAGAAAGGAAAAACTAGTCAGTTAATAGTTAATAATGTCCCTATATCTTAGGTATCAGGTAAAAATGAAATCCCAGTCATCGATGTAGGAGGTTTTGGTGCTGTAGGACTATGTTTTTTGTAACTTCTGGGTCTCCTTTATGAGATAATTCTTAACTTCTGACAACTAATTTTGCAAGGGGCACAAAGGCTTTCATTTATATGATGGTTACAGTTTTTGCTAATGAGGGTCCCAAGTTTCTGCCCTGTGTTTGTTCAGAGCAGTATAGTCTTGTTAGTTACACTTTCCCTATATTGTTCACCTCTGGTGTGCTGCCATCTCCAGAGACAGGTTTAGCAAAGTGGTATTATGTAATGGTTCATAATGAGATTATTACAGCTTTTTGTGCTTTTGTCATCTAAATGGCCAGATGATACATTTTGTAGACAATTTATGTGTTGTTTTGTTTAAACATTTTATTGCACTGTCTTTTCTTTGATAAATCTTTAAAATATGTCATTGCCTGTGCTGTTCGTGACTATTTCTGAGTGCTATCACCTGGGATGTTCATACTTCATATTTGCATAATTTAACTTGATCATGATTCATTCTTTTCCCTTCCCCATGAATTTTCCCCTTACATTGGTCTCCATATTTTCTATATCTCTCTCCTTTTTTCCTCCCCCCCTGCTCTTGTACAGATAGCTCCTCCAAGAAGACAAAATCTAGTTCAGAGGAGAGTAGATCGGAGATATATGGTAAGCTGATGTAGCCAATTGAGCCTTGCACCTACGGAGCTTGCTTCATGCTGTGTCCTTCTTCTTCTTTTTTTTTTTTTAAATAACTGTAGCCTTCCTTTTTGTATGCTCTGCATGGCATGATCTGCTGCAGGGAAAGGGAGCCTGGGGTTTTCATGTGACTGTGATGTGGAAGCTTAAGGTTGCTAGACACTAACACTGAAGAATAAGAGTAGGCCACATTATTAATCTTTGCTTTCACTGTGTTTGTTAGGAAAGTGATTATCTCTAATCTGGTTTGGTAAGATTTTTCCTAAATAGTATGGCTGGGTTTTGACTTCTTGGCATCATATATATATTCCAGTAGTTCTTAGTTTGGTTTTTGTGACCAGTGTTTTTTCTATGTAGTTAAACCTTTTGCAGCAGTTCCACAGGAAATGTGTGCTATGCTTCATGGCATGTCAAGTGTGTGTGTGTGTTTCTTCTACAGTATTTGGTTTCATAAGTTAGAAGTAGCTTCCCAATTTTCCCAGATGCTGTTCTCTATACAGATTTTATGGCTTATTCTCTCCTTAGGATTGTAAACACTGTAACACCAACCTTTTCCAGTAGCTTTTGCTATATTGTATTTCATCTCCCCTATTGTTTTCCTATATCTGTGGAATGTATGTAAAAGCTTGCTGTTTGTTTTAAATGAGGACTAACAATTTAGGAATCCATGACTAGAAATACTATACTAATATTTTTCTTACTAGTGATAGGGTTATTAACACTAGTTCAGACTTGCCATCAGCTTGGTAATAGAAACATTTTAAGTGGTAATAGGGAAATAAGGTGTGGCTTCTCTGTGTGTTTACTTTTTGAAAGCTCTGGCGATACTTTTGGGAAGGAACTGAGCCATGAGACCCCAGAAAGTACTTATCAGAGAGATGTGTTGATCAGAGTAGAATTAGCATGCAAACTTAAATCTCTTTGACATTGCAAATATTGTATCACCTGTGTGAATAATGTTTTTCAGACTGTGGCTCATCAGCATGGGTGAGTAAGAATTTTTAGGGTGCCAAGAACTGGGAAATTTGCTATATGACTGAGTACAATCATATCAACAGATGTCATTGTTTTGGTATGGGGTCTTACAAGCCCACTTCTAACTTTTGGGATTATACATTGTCTTCTCTTGTAGAATTCATTAGATTTGTACTTAGCACAAATGCTGCTTATTCACTTAAGCATTATTTATTTTAAACTTTCTTCACCATTTTTAGTGCTATTTTGTGAGATAAATAGCTAGTCAACTATTTGTTTTGTATTGACTTCTTTTGTTAAGTTTATGCTCATTGTAGAATTTTATTAGGTGAATATTTAATTTACTTCACCATATTTTTTCCTCTGGACTTTTGAGAGTCTATTGAATATGTGCAGATATGCTTTCTGATCTGTAATTTTAATGATATTTAATTTTCTATTTTTTCACTAAAATTGTAATGGGTGTAATGTTTATGGGATCTTGTGGGGTGTGAGAGATTTAGTAAGAGAATTTTAAGTTACATTACAGCTTCTTCCTAACTTCTATATTAGTATTATTTACAGTAAAACAAGCCATGTCCTTTTCAAAAGTGTGTTAGTCTGCTGGAGCTACTATCACAAAATATCAGAGACTTGGTGGCTTACACAGCAGAATTTTTTTCTCATAGTTTTGGAGGTGCCAGCATGGTCATGCTCCCTCCTGGCTTGCAGATGGCTCCCTTCCTGCTTGGTGCTCACATGAACTTTCCTTGGTGCAATTACACAGAGAAAGAATGTACATTACTTGGTGTCTCTTTTTATAAGGGCACTAATCACATTGTGGGGGAAGGCCCCACTCTTCAGTTGATCTAACCCCAATTACCTCTACAAATACCATCACCTTGGGGGTGAGGGCTCAACATAAGGTTGTAGGGAGCTACAAACATTCACTGCATAATAGAAGTGCACTGTTAACCCTTGGAATATCCTGTTTTGGATAGTTCAGAATGTATTTTTAAAAAATTCATACCTTTTTATTATTCAGCCTTTTCATGCCTATAAAAAAGGCAAGTTCTTGATTTGATTGTTACTCTCTCCAAGTTATTCCTTACTTTCTTCATTTTTTCAGTGTTTTAGAGTATAATCTTCTTTGTACTCATAAATCATATGCTGCTTAACTCTTGTAATCTCATGTCTAAACCCAAGCTAGTTGGAAGGTGAACCAAAATACCCTACTTGAAAATCTTCAGTTCCCACTTTCCCTCGGAACATTTGGCAATGGAGATAACTTTTCTTTTATTTCTATATTACATAAACCTGGTTCTTTATCTTTGTAATTAAAAAAAAATTTCTTCCCTTTCATAAATATTAGCATGACCCCAGTTTCATTTTCTGTTCTTTTTCCTCTTTATAGTCATATATTTAAAATTGTTTGCTGAATATCAGAACTCTGACTATCTTTAAAATTCATAATGACCAGTCTGGAAGTTATCATAGTTCTTTGTGGCTAAATCAGTTTTTCTCTTAATTCCTCAATTCTTTCAATGACATTTTAACATCATTCTTTCATACCCCCATTTTTATTTTCTTATGGTTATCATTGACATTTTCCCTTCCCTTCTTCTCTATAGTCAACTATATGCCAGTTTCATTGATTCTGCCTTCACAGTGCTTTTGATTCCTCACTCTCTGTTTCTATCTATAATACCTTGTTGAGTTTTTCATCATTTCATTAGAATATTTTAACATTTAATAGACTTAAATCTTTTGATTTTGTATTATTGAATTTTCTCCATTCTACTATGTTCTTTCAAATTAATATTAAGTAAAGTGAGGAGTTGGCCATTCATTTGCTATGAGTACAAGTAGATTATTAAGATACATAATATCTAAAAGATACCAGGCTCTAAATTTTTTTTTCCAAATATGGCTTGTTATTCTTTCTTTGTTCATATCATCCTCATTGTCTTGAATGCATTTACCAACTGTAACTCCCTGTTGAACCTTCCACATCCTTCAGGTCCTAGTTCAAATACTTACATTTTGGTGGACCTGCCTAAGATTGCCTTCAGGCAATCTTGTCTGAACTTTGATATCTTGTTTTGTATCAAGTTGTTTGTATTTATGTTTGTCTTTGCAAGTTGCCTGATACCGTGGAGGTGGTACTAAGTTAGTTTTGAAATAATAGTGGTTGGGATTATGATGAAGTGTTTTATAGCAAGAATTGATGAAATAAAATCATGATTCATTTTCACTGTATTTTTCTTCTGAAAAATTTTAAGATAGTATAAAATACAACTTAGAGAACCACTTGAACTATCTTAAAAGAAGGAAACCAGCATGCTTGGAACTTAAGGTTCCTCTTCTTGTGCATTTGGAATGAGAAGCTTCTTAATCAAAGGATTATCTGAGGTCTTACTCATAAAACACGAATGTCTGGCAGCAGTTTAAAAATGAGCTGTTTTTATGAGGTTGCACATAGGCCTTTCTCCACACCCTTCCCTGAAGCTAATTCTTAAGAGGTGAGACTTAGAGAAGTTTAGTCATGTAATAAAATCAAAGGTGAGGAGAGACTGATGTGCTTTAACAAAGTAAGTGTACTATGGAAGCTTTAACATGTTGCCTTACATATGTAACATTCCATTTTCATTAATTTACTCTTTGTATCTGTAGTTGTTGCCATTTTCAGGAAGATAATATAATATAACTTGAGAGCTTTTTACCTTTTTCAGAATGCTGTTTTTCCCCTGAGCCCAAATATTTCTCTGTTTTGCACAGTTTTCAAGACTGTGATTCTACTTTTTCTTAAAATGTGATTGAATATGGTTTATTTAAAATTTCTTTTACTTAAACTAAATTCAAATTTATCTAGTAACTGTTCATTGAAACTAAATGCTAGGGACTATGCTGTTAAGGAATAGGAATATAAAAACAATAGGAGACTGTACCTGTTTCTTATAGTTCACAGTTCAATCCAAAAGAAAGAATTGTAATATATTTTCTAAATGCAATAATAGAAATTTGTATTTGTTTACAAGTACTTAAAAAATAGTTAATAGAAAGAAATCTTCATATAATACCAACAACAGTGAAAATTAAATGATTGCTATGACTAAGTTTCAAGAAAGGCTATGCCTTATCATTGTCTTTCTTGCTAAACATCCCCTTTGTCTTATACATACAAAGTATTTGGATACAATTCCTATGAAGGGCCCTTCCTGGTGGCACAACAGGTTTAAAGCACAGCACCATGAAGCTATCATAGCCACTGCAGATCCCTGGCCAGGGGGGTGACCCACATGGTATGGCAGACCTCTCCTGATTGGCCTGCTGCTCCCCTCAGCAGTATATTTCAGTCAGTCTCCCTGTTCTGCTCCCTACTCTGTCTTTGGTGAACCCTCTTATCTTGTGCACCTCTGGCCTGTACCCCGGTTCTGTATACATAAATCAATAAATCTTTAAAAAAAAAAACAATTCATACAAAAGTGGTTATATGATCTTATAATAGCGATAAACACCTTTGGTAATTATAGTGAGCAATCTTTATAGTAAGCTGTAAGGGATTCAGCACAACAAACAGTGAACTATATATGTGTTTGTAAAAATCACAGAATTTTTTTTTTTAATTAACCAGATTTGAAAATGACTTTTGGAGTTGAGCGTCTGCTTTCATCTTTCCCTTCTTTTACAACCTATAAAACTTATTATCCGTACCATGCTTTAACTCTTAGGCTTTGTCATTGTTGCCATATTTTTTCTGTATTCTCTTCTTTGCCAAGATTTTAAAATTTTGTAAGTGAAGACTTAGGTGTTTTATTATTCCTTACAACACTTACATACTGTGGGGTTAAATAGCTAGTGGACAGATGCTCAGTACAAATTTACTAAAACAAAGAAGTGGATTTTTTTTTTTTGTCAAAAAGGACATTCCAAATATATAGTAACTCAGTCACTATTGGTGATTTTAATATTAAGGGTGGAATTTATTCTCTGTGGTAGGTTAAAACAGCTCCAGGTCTACAATAAGGAGAAAACTTTCAAAAAAATGAAAAGCATTTAAATTTTTGAATGGAGAGTAGTATAGTATAATAGGCCTAAACATTTGAAAGACTGGTTTTCTGATTTTTGAATGGTATGACAACTGTTTTCAGTTAATTATGACCTCAAACCTAAATTTATAAAAGTGATATAGAATAGATTCATTAATTTGAATTCCATTGATTATGAAGTGGATACATGAGTAAGGTGTGTTTTCTTTTTTTGTATTGTTTTAGTTACTCTTATATGTTACAGTACATCAGATCCTCAGAATAGCAGGTATATTTAGATAATAAAAAAATGAATAATATAGTGAGGCAGGGGAGAGGAGAAAGATATATAGCATATGTACATAGATAGCTCTTTCCCTTTGCTCTTTACCTTCTCCTTTTGATATAGAATGAAAAAAGAATGTCTCAGGTTGAAACAGTTTTGAATTAGAAACAATAGGTTTGCAGTATTCTGAGATACTCTAATATATTACCTTGATCCTTAGTAGCCTGTTAGGAGCATAAACATATTTACTGTAATTAAATGTGTGTTGGTAATTAGTTTTCTTCTCTGATCATCTCCCTTTCTGAACTTTCATCCATTTTTAAACCCTCTTTTTTTGATTTTCATTAATTCATTAGCATTTAAAATTTTTCTCATGTGCCAGAACATAATGTCATAGTTTCTGGGATAAGCCTGTAAACAAGAGAGAGTTCTTATGCTCAGCTCTTGGTGCATCTAATATAATGAGGATAAAAACAAATACAGGTACAGTGGGAGTTTACTACAGAGTACCAAATCCAGTCTGTATATTTAGGAAATATGTCCAAGAGGAGGTGATTTATTTCTGGAGGCCTTCTTGCTATACCTCACTTCTAAAGTTACCTATCACAGGAAGCCCTAATCTCTGAGACATGCCTTCTCTCTACCTTTTCCATTGAAAAATAATTTGCTTGTCTGTCAGAACAAAACCAAACTTTAGACAAAGACATAAATGAAGATTCACCCTCATAAGGAGAGATTGTGTTAATGAAAGGAATTAACATGAGTGTTTTAAATTGCTTTTTAATTGCTGGTATGGACAGATGAGTAATATCTCTGAGCAGGAAAATTCAAGGGCAACCTGCCTTTCATCATAATAAAAAATACTTAAAATGTATTCATTATTAATACTTAACATTGGTATTTGTCAGGCATTGTACTAAAAATTTATATTCAAGTAAATTAGTCATAGCAAACTCAAACCCCACTACCTCTTTCCTTCATTTTTTGTGGGCACTCTTTTCTGTGGGAACTTGGAAAAAAAAATCTGTTTACTGAGCCCAGTAGTTTAACACAAAAAATGCAATACTAGAAATCTTTAATTCATTGACTTTCAGCTCTTAGGAGAACTGGAAGGGATGGATGTAATATGTGGAAATATATATCCAGTGTTACAGTTGTTTTGATTTCTAAGGTACATTATCTAATTTATTTTGAAAGTTCAAGTAACAGTAAAGGAGATCATCAACTGTTTATATTTTTAATTCCAGGCATGTATCTTTAAAAATTCCTTTCAAAAATTTTTTTTTATTTTGAAGTTCTCTGGTTGTATATATCATATACAAGATATACTAATAATCTATAAAGAATGTTTTTCCTTGATTTTATGTATTTTTAAAAAGTCCATTCTACTTGTAGTTCTCCAAATTACTTGAAGTAATAAAAGAAAAGGACTAATTTTTGATGGGTCATAATTTACTATTTTGTGGTATTGGTGGATTTGTGAATTTGTATACTGTTTAGTATTTAGTAGTCTGTAGAATTGAGAGGTACAATTTACATGAAATAAGATGTATTTGTAACTGTTTTGATACATGAATATCCTCATGTACCTTTACCTTAATTAAGATAGAAAACTTGTCCATCACCCCAAAAGTTTCTTGTTGCAGTCATTCTTACTTCTCTTCCCTACCGTGCAACCCTAAATCTGCTTCCTCTCTTGTTGTAGTTTGGTTTTGCTTGTTGTAGGCTGGCATCATATAGTGTGTATGCTCTTTTGTAACTGCTACCTTTGCTTTAATGTCATGGTGTTTTTATAATTCATCCATATTTGTTGCATGTCTGAGTAGTTCTTTAATTTTCTTGCTAAGTGATATTTCATTGTAATGGATACAGCACAT